CGAGGCGGATCGCAAGCTCAAGGAGCGGGTCGACGCTCGGAACAAGCTAGAGACATACGTGTACAGCATCAAGAACACCGTCGACAGTAAGATGGCCGATGCCATGGGGAGGGATGAGAAGGAGAAGGTCCAGGATGCGGTGAGGGAGGTGAACGAGTGGCTCGATGACAATGCAGAGGCGGAGAAGGAGGACTACGATGAGAAGCTCCGGGAGCTGGAGGACGTCTGCAACCCTATCATCACGGAGGTGTACCAGAGGTCTGGAGGCGCACCAAATGACCACACGACTGAGGACGACGACGATCATGACGAACTCTAGGCACGTGCAACTTGTTAGATCATATAGTATTTACTAGTTTCTTTTATTTTTGCCCTACAAATATATGTACATATGCACGTTTGCATTGCATTCTTTCCTAGTATAATATAAAGTTGTGATACAATGATTTTATGACGTACTCATTGGTTTATAACTAATCCTTTATTTATGAGTTATTGTTGGAATTGATGAACTCTAGTTGATTGAGAATCAACATCTATTGGATGGTTAGGAGGGTGTTGTATCCTAGCCCACCATATGATATCAAACCACCTGCGGATTCTTCTTTCAGTGAGAGGCGATGTTTCTGTTAATAGTGAGATGTCTATAGTGCCTTTGTCAATATCAAAACCTGTAGGCTCATTCTCTCGAAAATGCTCATAATGGTAGTATATATATACGTGCATGCCTTCACAAGAATGAGTATATGTGAGCACCCGTGTATGTATATTATGTTTATAAAAAAACTCGTCAGTTTCTTGATGTTATGGCCGATGGTGTTCTCCTAGCACCACATGCACCATAACTACACGGAGGAAGACACAAGTGGGCGCTTCAGCCACCTCTTATTTATGCAGATATATATATACCCTTGAAAATCAATGCACATCATATTGTCATGGGTTCTTGCTCACACATTTAGCCAGAGGCGGACCACGGAAAAAAATTAAGGTGTGGCGAAGTCTCACTAAGATTTTTTTTATGCGAATCAAAGAGTTAATACACACTACGAACGAATAACCAAATACAATGGAAATATAGACATGTCTCAATAGGAAAACAACCTAAAACCTTTTCAAATCTGCAATGAGAAAATTAATATATCACTAAAATATGGTTGAATTTAAGGCTGTTCAAAATTGCTACAAAATTTCAGAAAAATGAGAAATTACCTCTTCCTCTTTTCTTTGGATTTACTAGTCCCTTTCCCTTTCCTTCCATCTTCTAGCAATCTAGACAAAACTGAGCCGGTTGGGCATCTTATTAGTCAGTGCCTTTCTGTCCATGAAGAATTGACACTTTGACAGAAGAAAAAACGCTACTGCCCATCAAAGTTCAGAGTTCGGACAGGCACAGATACAGGTACGACGTGTTCAATAACTGAATAAGCAGGGTTCAATTAGTATTTAGTACAGACTTGGCTGTGTCAAATGACGCAGCTAGCTACTAGTCTTTTTACATCTAAACTGAATATGCAGGACTCAATTAGTACAGAGTACAGACTACAGACTCGACGTGTTCAGTGGGATGAATGCCAGACTTGGTCTCACCTGAATCCCAAACCCCGACCGTGGCCGTCGCCTGCTGGAGCCGCCGTTGAAGCCGCCGCGCCGCTGGAGTCGCCGCCTGAGCTGCTGCTGAAGCCGCCGTTGAAGCCGCCGCGCCGCTGGAGTCGCCGCCGGAGCTGCTGCTGAAGCCGCCGCCGAAGCCGCCGCTTGCTGCTGCCGTCGCTTGCTGCGCCGCTGGATCCGCCGCCCTCCAAGGCTCCAAGCCCCCAGCCTTCCGCCGCCCGCGCCCGCCTGGTGCCATGGTCCTCGCGACCTCGCGCCCGCCAGGTAAGCCGCCGCCGCCGCGCTAGCTAGGTTTGGGTCTCGGGCAGGGACAGAGCAGAGGAGTGGGCAGGGACGAAGCGTGGACTGCGTGGTCGCCGCTGGGTCGTTCGTTTTCTTTTTTTTAGGTGGGTGGGACCAGAGGGGACGTGGGGTCGTGGGCAGAGGGCGCTCGAGGGCTCAAGGCCACCGTTGGCTGCCTGGCTGTGGTCGAGGACTGGAGGCTCGAGCGGCCGAATGATAGATACATACGAATAATTTTTTTTTTGCCAATAAAAGGTATTTTTTTTGCCAATAAAAGGTATGGCAGGTGCCATACCTCGCCCACCGGAGCGCTCCGCCACTGCATTTAGCAGTAATGAATACGCTGATTTGTTACAAACTAACCACTACTATAAAGATTTCTTGACAAATTGTTGTTTGCCTTGATTTTCGCATACCGTGTTCTTTAAATGGCGCCAAATCCTGTGCGTGCGTGCATGCGTGTGCATTATTATCATATGCCTTTGTACTGTACAAGATCTCTCTTGGTTCATAAAATAATCACCATTTCTAATGTGCTGAATTCACAATAAATATTTTATTAAAGAAAGATGCTGGCTAGCTAAGCATACTGAAGACTTCCGTGAAAATTGATGCAAGTTTCTTGTCAAGTTCGTAGAGTAAAGAGGTAGTAGAAAACTAGTGTGCTCCAGATGGATGTTGGCTGGTACTATTAGCCGAAGACATCTCACGACACCATGACACAAGTTGGAATGATTGTGCTACTCTTTTGTCTTTACTACACGTGTTGATTAATGACACTAATGTTGTTCCGATAAAGTAAAAAAGTGAAGTCACTACCAGTACTCCCTCCGTCCGAAAAATCATGTCCCTCAAAAATATCATTTGTGTTAAGTTCTACTTTCTATGTAAACAAATATAAGAGCGTTTAGGTCAAATACTTGAGTGATCTAAATGCTCCTATATTTTTTTATGAAAGGAGTACAATTTAGATTGGCTCATCCTATTGGCACAGTTGTGAGATTTATTCATACTGGTCGCTTGTCTTAGATGAAAGGGATAAAAAATGCTAGCAAAGGAAGCCTAGCACCTTGTAGCATTTAGCCTTGGTAAACCTATAGTGGTAGGAAGCATCCGAAAAACAAGTTTTATCACCATTATGAGTAACAATAGTTTAATACAATAAAAGGAAAAATAATCTCAGACCATTTTAAGAAGTTTTTAGTGGTTTTACAAGGCTACGGGGCAGTATATATGTTAGAGTTTAGGCAGCGGATTGCGCGAGCACTTATAGAAGTTCAAGGTGTCATATAAGTAAATGAAAGTTTCAAATCATTAATTGCATGATTGTTCAGTTGGTGAGGCACTTCGGCCACACCTACTCTCTCACACCTTCATGTATTGGTTGATAAATAGTCCTCACCTGTAGTGTTGAGAAATCAAAACAAACATGTTTTTATAGATAGAAGTACCAGTTATCCTCTTATATGTTCATAGAAATTGATGCATGTTCTTCACTTGTGACAAAGAATACTTGGAATAGGAGGTAGTGGGAAACTAAGTCCGTGGGCAACATTTTATAGATAGTTCTTAACTAGGCAATATGTTTGAAGGATGTGTACACATAGGAATAATCCATTGGCATCCATTAGTAAGTGTCCAAGAACGTGTTCATGCTCGTGTCCATCCTCTTCTCCGGCTGGACGTCCGACTTCTTGGGCCGCCGCGCCACGCTTGTGACAGCCAACGCCCTCTTTATGGCCGGCGCGCTCGCCTTGTCCCTCGGCGGCAGCTACGCCGGCCTGATGGTTGCATGCTTCATCATCAGCATCGGCATGGGTTTCACCCTCGTCGCCGCGCCGGCCTACAACGTCGAGATCGCTCCGCCGTCCACGCGCGGCGTGCTCTCGTCGCTGCTCAACGGACAAATGTGATGGTTTTGAGTAATTTACTCGCCTTGAACTGTTATATATATATATATAGCAAGTAACAAAGGACAACGGGCCATCCAAAGGTTGATTTATTTCTGTCGAGAACCAAGATCTAAGCAGGTCTGTCTGCCTCGCGTTAATTGGGTGACAATCACCTGTCGTTTATCAAAAAACAAAGTGACAATCACCTGTCATTTCCACGAGCTAAGAGACAAATAAAAACTAGCCACACTGAATGAAATCTGTGGGGTAGCTGATGGATCTCACCGGCTAGCTTGCTCGTCGTCTTCTGCAAGTGCACCAAGTTGTAGATCTCTTTAAGGAAAAAGGTGTGGCTGAAGCAGAACCTGGGGCCGGCGAGGAAACAGGGCGGCGCCATGACGCACGATGCAGCCGCCGAAGCCACCACCACGAAGCTGCTCGCCGTGCTCGAGAAGCCACGGCGGAACATGTACGCCTTCGCCTGCGTCACGCTCGCCTCCATGACCACAATCGTCACGGGCTACAGTACGTGAGTCGCCGTCGTCCATGGCTCGAATTTGTACGTCACCGATGCTCTGCCGCGTGATCGTGTGCCTCCACTGCAGATCTCGCCTTGATGAGCGGCGCGGAGCTCTTCATCCGCGAGGACCTGGGCCTCACCGACACGCAGGTCGAGCTGCTCGCGGGGTCCATGAACGTGTTCATGCTCGCGTCCATCCTCTTCTCCGGCTGGACGGCCGACCTCCTGGGCCGCCGCGTCACGCTTGTGGTCGCCAACGCCTTCCTCACGGCCGGCGCGCTCACCATGTCCCTTGGCGGCGGCTACGCGGCGCTCATGGCTGCGCGCTTCGTCACCAGCATCAGCATGGGGCTCGCCCTCGTCGTCGCGCCGGTCTACAACGCCGAGATCTCGCCGCCGTCCACGCGTGGCGTGCTCTCGTCGCTGCTCGATGTACGTATGTGCCGGCGTCTCATGGACAGGAACAGGGTTCGATTTGACTGGTGATGAAGGAGCTTAATCTGTTCTTCTTGGTATTATGCATTGGCCAGATTTTTATCAACGTCGGCATCCTTCTCGGCTACACGTCCAACTACGCCTTGGCCGGCCTGCCGGCGCACCTCGCCTGGCGAATCATGTACGCCATCGGGGTGCTCCCGCCCGTGCTCCTAGCCGTGGGGGTGCTCGCCATGCCGGAGTCGCCTCGATGACTCGCCATGCGCGGACGCCACGCCGAGGCGCGCGCGGTGCTCTGGCGCACCTCCGACACCGCCGAGGAGGCCGACGTCCGCCTCGAGGACATAAAGCGGGCCTTTGATGCGCCGCAGGCTGCTGGCTCCGTATGGCAGGAGCTGATCGTCCGGCCGTCGGCGACAGTCAGGCGAATCCTCATATGCGTTGTCGGGCTGCACTTCTTCCAGGAGGCGTCCGGCATGGACGCCGTCGTTCTGTACAGCCCGCTGGTGTTTAACAAGGTCGGCATGTCCGCGACTAGCTCCATACTAGGCGCCACCGTGGCCGTCGGGGTCGTCAAGACGTGCTTCATCTTCGTGGCCATGCTCCTGGTCGACCGCGTAGGCCGGCGCCCGCTCCTGCTGGCCAGCGCCGGCGGCGTCGCGGTGTCCTTCACCGCTCTGGCGCTCACGCTCTGCGTCCGCGAGACATCGTCGGCGAGCGCAGCCGCGTCCGTGGCGTCCGTGATGGCGTTCGTGGCGGCGTTCTCCGTCGGGTTCGGGCCGCTCGCGTCCACGTACGCCGCGGAGATCATGCCGCTGCGGCTGCGCGCGCAGGGCGCGAGCCTCGGCATGGCGGTCAACCGGCTGACGTGCGGGGCGGTGAGCATGTCGTTCATATCCCTCGCCGGGTGGATAACGATGCCTGGGTGCTTCTTCCTTTATGCCGGCGTGGCGGCGACGGCGTGCGTGTTCGTGCACCTGCGGCTGCCGGAGACGAGGGGCCGGAGCTTGGAGGATATGGAGGCCCTCTTCGCCAAATGACGGACGTGTCCACTCACTCCTTGAGAGCTGAAAATATTGGCGCAGACAGCCACGATTTGTCACCTGCATCCGCATGGGGTTCGCCGTAATCGTCGCGCCGGTCTACAACGCCAAGATCCCACCGCCGTCCATGCCGGGTTTCGTGGCCAGGACTCGATTTGACTTGTGTAGTTTAAACGTCTCTTGATAGTATTATACTTTTGCCGGATATTTATCAACCGTCCGCATCCTTCTCGGCCACCTTGGCCGGCCTGCCGGTGCACCTCGGCTGGTGCTCCATGCACGTCATCGGGGGTGCTTCTAGAGTGTGAAGAAACAACGACTAATAACAATTGTGTCACATGTTGGCTTTGCCATCAGCATTCACTTTCTTTGAAGATTGCCCGACATAATTGAGAGGCTAGTAAGAGTTGAGATCATGTCAATTTCATTGTTTTTGAGATAGCTCATCACTCATGTCGAGTGGTAACTGACTGCTTCGGAAGGGAAAGAGCACATGTGAAGGTACGGTTTGTATGGTCCAAGGTAATCAGATGTGTGCGTGACAACGGTGTGGACACCTGCAAAGCTCCCTTTCTTTTTTTGTTTGCAAAAAAAATGACATCTGGACCGCGGAGCAGACCAATACATGACCGTGTTGAATGGTGGAACACATCCGGACCAAATGGTTGCGGGTGGTTAGAGGGTCCATGTTGGGGATTACCTAATAATAGTAAAGATGATGTAATTTCTGTTTTATTTGAAAGGAAGATGATGTTAATTTCAAAAACCTAAACTAAACACACTGCTCTATACCAACACGTAGTCGAGGCCCTTGTGGCTGCACGCTTTTGGCATCGGCATGGTGTTCGCTCGTCGTCGTCGTGCCGGTCTACAACGCCAAGATCCCACCGCCGCCCCCGCGCAGCGTGCCGTCGTCGTTGCTCCACGTACGTCTGTGGCGGGTTTCATGGACATGACTCGATTTGACTTGTGGTGGAGTTTTAACGTCTCTGGAATTCTGGATAGTATTATACTTTGGCCGGATATTTATCAGCGTCGGCATATCCTTCTCGGCAACACGTCCAGCTAACTACGCCGCCTTGGCCGGCCTGCCGGTGCACCTCGGCTGGCGCTCCATCTACGTCATCGTGGGTGCTAGTAACAGTTGAGATCATGTCAATTTTGAAGACCTAAAGTCACCGAAGACCTAAAGTCATCGTGGTTACAGACGCGTGGACTAAGGACGTGTCACCCTACACATACTCCTATATAACATGACGCAACAAACTAAAGAAAAATAATAAGAAAAAGCTAAGCCAAAATATCTATGCTAGCTTGGAGTAGTGCTACTGTCTCTGCATGCTGAGCTCCCTGCGGAAGTTGCCGATGAACCTCTCCGTGTTGGCAAACAGCTCCTCCCGACTCATCTTCACGTCCCCGTCCATGTCGACTTCACAATCTTCCTCCTCCTCCTCCTCCTCCTGGCGTGCCTTTTCCTCTCCGCCGGCTTGCTGGCCGCCGTTCAGCGAGCTGAGGAAGAAGATGCTCGCCGTCGACGGGCACTTCTTGAGCACCTTCAGCACCACCTCCTTGGTCTTCGTCTTCAGCTCGATGATATTAGTCACCACAAAGGCAGGCACCACGACACGATCACCCGCAACCGCCGTCCGGTCGTCGGGACGGACTGATTCAGCTCCAGCCCTCTGGAACGGCGAGGCCTCGACGGCCTGACCGGCACTCGGAGACCCGTGCCGGTCTTCGTCGTCGGCGATGGAAGCGCCGCCGCCGCCGACGAAGGCCTGGATGCCGAGCGCGAGGACGATGCCGTTGAAGAGGAGGTAGCCGTAGGCGACCCTGAGGAAGACGGGCAGCAGCAGCGCGAGGAGGAGGAGGGCGAGGAGGGAGCTCAGCTATCAGTGCCGCCGGCGGGAGCGTGAGCTTGACCCCCATTGATCACGAGCTCTGCCGACTTGCCGATGTAGCTAGCTAGGTAGCTAGTGGTTCAGGTGCACTGGATGCCTCTATTGCCTGGGCTCTGGAGCAAGGAAAGGATACTGTCTATCGGTCTAGCCGCCCGGCCAAGTATATATAGACAAAAATCAGATATTTTTCTGGCTGTCTTAATTAAATAATGAAATATTTCCTTGCTGGCTAAGAAAAAGAAACATATCTGTCACTGCACTGATGACGTAGAAGAATTTGTAGTGGGTATACCTATGGGTTGCTCCACTAGCTAGTAGACCAAGTTAATTAGCGGGAAAAGACAAAGCGTTGGGGAAACATCACATTAAGCTAGCTAGTAGTAGTGCACTGATCGAATACTTAGGGCGGTCCAAATTCATGCATGCCATACGCGCACGTTACGTGTCCGTGGTACCGCAGAAATAAGATGCAGTGAATGAGTTAGCGCGTTGGACGGTGCTACCACGAGTACGTACAGTCGCGATCAGCCGTAGAAGGGGCGTGCCCGTCAAAATCATGACGCGCCGGCTGCGGACGAGTCCATATTGGCCCTGTCGGCCAAGGTTTGTGGCAACAGTTTAGACTCCAACAAATGAACGCACGTTACGCACGTACACCGTATGAGCACCTCGAGGGACATTCCTCTTCCACCAACGTTATAAAGTCTGAAAGTAAATTCAGAAAAAAATACAAGCATATGTGTCAAGTTTAGGAGTTGAACCCGAGTGATATTGATAAAAAATATATGCCCCTAAAAATAGAATCTTTTCGATTTTTGCATCGTGTAAAATAGGGCACTCAAAGCATCTACAACCAGACTTGGCAGATCCGACCTCTCAAACGCATGTGGACGCGTCCAGACGCATCCGCGGACAGTGACCAGTCACGCCTCAAAAAATACATCCCACATCCGGATACCTCAAATCCATATTATTACATGCAACGCAGCGATCTTTGAGCGGAGCTTCGTCCGGTGCCACTCCCCGCTCGTCTGGCTCCGCCGTGGCCATGTCCAATGGCCGGCTGCACCCCTCAGAGTCTTGGTCCGGCCGTCGACAAGGTAGATTAGGGCATGGAACACGAGCCGGCTCACGGGACTCAATGCGCCGTTGTCTCCCATGCCCTAATCATCCTCGTCGGAGCCCAGAACCCTCTGGGTGCCGGTGGATGTCAGATTGATGATGGATCTGTCCTGGGACGTGTCGGCCACATCCACCACAACGCGGTTGCGGCGCCCGGACTGGTGTACTGTACGGGGCGCCGGAGAATGCGACTCCGCCTCGCCGACGTCCACCACAGCGAGTGCAACCGCCATGCCCCGTGTCCGCTGTCGCGCACGCCTGGAACGACGCACGATGTTTGCGTCGGACGACGCCCACGATGGGTCCATGGCCTCAGTGTGCCAACGGAGGGGTTATGCGTCTGCCAACGCACTCGGACACCAGACGGACCGCACCGCCTCCGATGAGGCAGCGACGACGGCTGCCCTAGCGTCGGATCCATGTACCATTTAGACAGACGCAATGGATTGCCGACGGAAGGAGTCCGAGCGATGCCGGGCACAGGCTCCTCCCGGGGATGGTGGAGCGCAAGCCTTGTAACACCCCGGATGTAACTTTCCCTATTTGTACTCAAACTCTTGCCGTTTCCAGCGTTAAGTTATATTTATTTCCTCGGGTTCGGGTTTTGTCTCCGTGTGTTGTTGTCATTGTCATGCATATCATATCATGTCATCATGTGAATTGCATTTGCATACGTGTTCATCTCATGCATTCGAGCATTTTCCCCGTTGTCCGTTTTGCATTCCGGCGCTTCGTTCTCCTCCGGTGGTCATTTCTAGCTTTCTTTCGTGTGTGGGGATTAAATATTTCCGGATTGGACTGAGACTTGCCAAGCGGCCTTGGTTTACTACCGGTAGACCGCCTGTCAAGTTTCGTACCATTTGGACTTCGTTTGGTACCCCAACGGTTAACCGAGGTACCGAAAAGGCCTCGTGTGTGTTGCAGCCCAACACCCCTCCAATTTGGCCCAAAACCCACCAAACTCTGCTCCATGTCCTAGAGCGTTCGATCACGATCACGTGGCCAAAAATCGCACCTCATTTGGACTCTCCTAGCTCCCCCTATGCCTATATATACACCCCCTCCAAAAATTCGCGGATCCCCCTTCCTCAAACCCTAAAAAAAATTCTCTCCCCGCCGCACCGGACGTGTCCGGACGAGCCGGACAACGTCCGGATCTCTCCCGCCGCCGCCCGCAGCCAGTGGCTCACCGCCACGTGGCCGCCGCCGTCCGCCTCCCGCCGCGGCCCGGGGAGAGCCCCCGAGGGCCCGAGCCGCCTGCGCCGCCTCCTACCGCGAGCCGCCGCCGTCTTCATCGAGCC